CCCCGCCAACATCTGTCATTTCCTGACTTGTTAATTTTAGCCATTCTGACTGGTGTGAGGTGATACCTCACTGAGGTTTTGATTTGGATTTCCCTGATGCTGAGCGATGTTGAGCACTTTTTCATGTGTCTGTTGGCCATTTGGATGTCTTCTTTGGAAAAATGGCTGTTCCTGTCTTCTGCCCATTTCTTGATTGGATTATTTGTTCTTTGGGTGTTGAGTTTGATAAGTTCTTTTTTTAAAGATTTTATTTATTTATTCATAAGGGACTGAGAGAGAGAGAGAGAGAGAGAGAGGCAGAGGGAGAAGCAGCCTCCCCGCTGAGCAGGGATCCCGATTCAGGACTTGATCCCAGGACCCTGGGATCACGACCTGAGCCGAAGGCAGACACTTAACCATCTGAGCCACCCAGGCACCTGAGTTTGATAAGTTCTTTAGAGATTTTGGATACTAGCCCTTTATCTGATATGTCATTTGCAAATATCTTCTCCCATTCTGTCGGTTGCCTTTTGGTTTTGTTGACTATTTCCTTTGCTGTGCTAAAGCCTTTTATCTTGATGAAGTCCCAAGAGTTCATTTTTGCCCTTGCTTCCCTTGCCTTTGGCGATGTTTCTAGGAGGAAGTTGCTGCGGCTGAATGAAACTGGACCACTTCCTTACACCACACACAAAAATAAACTCAAAATGGATGAAAGACCGAAATGTGAGACAGGAATCCATCAAAATCCTAGAGGAGAACACAAGCAGCAACCTCTTCGACCTCAACCATAGCAACTTCTTCCTAGAAAGTAAGGGCTTTTGAGCAGCAGTGACAACACAGGGCACCTGTGTGAGGTTAATTAATTATCAGTTAGTTAATTAAGTTATATTAGTTAATTATTATTATTTTCTTTTTAAAAGAGACTAGTGTTCCAAATGCACCGACCTCTTCTGTGATGCTAAGTGGCTGATATTGGTAGCTCCCCTAGCAAGTATTTTTTTTTTAAATGCCCCGTTGACTGATTGCCTTCAGGTAAAGGTGCGTTTTTTATCTATGAATGTGAAATCAACTGCCTTTGAAGGATTGTAAAGTGATCATTTGAGAACATCCATTGGCATGTTTTTCCATCCTCGTATGATTTCATTACTAGAAAAAGATGTTAAAACTCTCACATATGGGCACTTAAAAAACTTGCAAATATAATTTTCTTAAACTTCACAAAAATCTTCCAAAAAGAAAAGATTTGGTGGATTTCTAACTGTTCAAACTGAAAGCACACATTGAGAAATCTGGGTTTGCAAAAGCCAATAATTTTCGAGAGGATAACTAGATTTTGAGTATTTAGATTTCAACCAGAAATCTTTGTACAGTTAGGATGTGAATGAAAATCAAGTGTCAGGGTTTAGTCAGTAGAACCAACGATGATGACTTTATTCTATTTTAATTATCCTATTTCTTGGGAAGCATTTCCTTGTGACAGCTATCAATCCAAGTTTAGAAATAAACCGCTTAAAAACAGGTCTTTAAATTACTGTACTTCAAAGCGTTAAATTAAGGTTAAAGCAAACATATTCCATCACGTTGATCTCATTAAGTTTTGAAATAATTGAGTGCAAAAAATGTGTATTTCTAATCCATTTTTTCTCATTCTTGGAAATTTTTATGTTTTTATAGCGTTTATCATATATTAGTATTTAGCATATTAGCACATCTAAATATGAATATTGATACCAGAGATCGCGCTAAACAATCGTCTGGATGGGTGTCCTACCAAAACAGCTCGGAAGCCACTGGCTTTAAGAGCCTTGAACCTCTGCTCTTGCTTTTAGTTAATTTCCAAAGTGACGTCCAATTTTGAAACCGCTCTTGCACACACACCCCAAACACGAACACTGCGCGCCCTAACCCAGGAAAACAAACCATGTCGCCTGCGGGGACATTCCGCCGACACCCTCAGAGGTCCGCGGCCCCAGCCTCCCCCACGAAGCCACGCGCCACGCGCACGCAGGCCGGGTCAGGAGGACTGCGGGGGAGGCTCGGGCTCCTCCCGCGGACACGTAGGGCTGCCGAGCGATCCCGGACGGCTCTGAGTCAGCCGCCGGAAGCCTCGCCCGGGACCGCAGCTGTGGGGAAGCAGGCAGCAAGCTGGAGGAACAGCCGCCGCCGCCGCCGCCGCCGGAGCAGGAATCTCCTGGGTACCGGGGCTGGGAAGCGCGCGGGTCGCCAGCTTCCCGGGGCGGGCGTCCCCTGCCGGCAGCGCGGCGGCGCGCGGGACACGGGCGGGGAGGGAGGCCGGCAGGAGGCGGACGCAGAGCGGCGACAAGGAGGGCGAGAGGACGGGGTGGGGGGAGGCTGTTGGCTGGGGGGGGCGGTGATCGGACCGGACGGCGGCGGGGCAGCCGTGGGGGGCTCGGAGCGGCGGGTAGGCGGGGTCAGCCGAGGCAGCCGGCGCAGGAGCGCGGCGCGCAGACTCGCCCTGGGGCGGAGGGGCTTCCCCCGACTGGGAGGGACACGGCGGCCGGCCGACGCCACCGCGCCGCGATCTGCCGGCCGGAGGGAGAGGCCGGTCACCCAGGCCCGGGGTGTGCTGTGGCCGGAGACGGCCGGGCGGAAGCTCTGGGGAGGGTGCGTGGGAGCAGCCGCGGGGTGCAGCAGGGAGACCGGGGCGCCCGGAGCAGCCTCGCCTGGAATTTCCAGGGCGCCTTGGGCAAGTTCCGGGGAGGTGCTGGGTCAGCGCCCCCTCCCGCGGGGAGGCCGGTAGGCTCCGAGGCCCCTCCCTCTGCCTCCTCCCTCCCTCCCAGGCTTCCCCTTACTTCCTGTATCCTGTTTTTCTTCCATATTCTCTGCTTTTCTTTCTTTATTCTTTCTTTCACATCTTTCACCCGCTCCTCATTGGCTGCTTTTCCTCCGCTTGAGAAAATGCTTCCTTGCCTGTTTCCACCTCGTCCGCAGCCACAGTAATTAATTTGATGGACTCCCCACTTCCCAGATTCTCTTCAGCTCCTGCTCCCGCTCCTTGGCCTGGCTGTTTCGGGGGCCCCTGCGGCTTGCCGCCGCCCGTGCTGCCCGCCAGTCCACCTCCTCCAGCCTCAGGCTGCCCCGGGCTTCCTCCCCTTGTCTTCTTCCTCTTCCTACCTGCAAATACCGGGAATTCTTAAAAACTAGGTGAGTTTCTCTTCTTACGCCTCTCTCTACCTTGTAATTTCATCCCGTTTGCCTAGCATCTCCCGCAGTCTGGGTGCTAAGGGCCCCCAATCTCTTGCTCTGGGACTTGTGCCCGACTCGGTAACCTGCCTGTATTTCCAAACATCGGTTGGCTGCCTTGTTACAGGGACCCAGGGACCATACCATAGTCTGCACATCTCAAATGGAATGTATCACCTTCCTCATTCCATCTGGCTCCTCATAGAAACTTCCAGTGGCTCACGCCCGCCCCAAGCATCAGTGAGCTAGGAGTCTGTTAAGAAGTGAACTGAGGCATATTAAAAAGTTCAGTTCATCGCAGCACAGATGAATTCGAATGGGACAGCATCCAGTCCAGCAGGCAGAAAGGAACTCCGAGGAGCTGTACAGAAGCAAAGACTTCTAAGCAGAAGGGAGTGGTAACAAGGAAGCTATACTGGCCAGAGGGTTGGTTGTTGCAAAGTTATTTCCCTTTGGTGGATGGCAGGGGTCTGGCTGGCGGTTGACCTCACTAGGGTTGGTCAGGCGGTTCCTGATTGACTGGTTTAAGATTCCATTTCGGGGAGAGCCGAAACTGTCATTCAGTTAAGTTTCTGCATCTGGGGCTGAGCTTAAGCAACTCCATCTGGTGTTTTGTTTTTGGGGCCTGGTGTTTTGTTTTTAACCAGCCTCCACGTCCTCCCTGACTACCCCTGTTCCCTGTCCCTCCTGTGATGGGTCACCCTGCCGCCGGGGTGCCACCTTGCACTCGGTTCCTGCTTCCCTGTCTGGCAGCTGCCGAGCTATGGCGGCCAGCAGGCTCCCTGGCCTTTTTCCAGGCTTCGTGGAGAGCCACTGCGTTCCCTAAAACCCTAGACTGTGCTCCTATAGAACATTTTGTTTAAAAACCATACCTGCCTTTCCGGACCATGGCTCAAGTTCAGACTTCTTGTCCAAGTGCACCCCATGTCACCCAACCGTAGAGACCCAGCCCCTCCGCCCCACACAGACCTGCGCCACCTGCCACGGTCGGTGGTCGGTCTCTCTCCTGCCAATCCCACCACTGCCCCCGCGGCACTCACCTCCCCTTTCACCGCCTCACACACACTCCTGCCCAATGCGTGAGAGCCAGCTCGCCCCTCACCTTCTCCTGAGCTTCTAAAGAGAATTTATTCTGTTCCTCTGGGGGCTTCCTTAGCACTTTGTAAATTATCCGGTTACAGAGGGTGGGGCTGGCTTGAAACCACACACTTGTGTTTGTGTGTCTCCCTCGGGTGGGAGTGCCCCGTCAGGAATTATGGCCTTTATTGTTCATTTTTTCTCTAACCTATATAAGGAAAGTTCTATAATAAATGCTCTTTGTATAAGTTCACTTCCGGAGGTGTCTGTGGGAAGGCGGAGTGGAGCGGGAAGATCACAGGCTTTCTGGGGCTCCAGGAGGAGAGCAGTGTCTTATCCTTGGAAGCGCAAGGCTTCTGCTTCAAGACCCCACTGCTCTTCCTATGAGAGCCGAGGACAGGCTTTCATTGTCCTGACCTCATTCACCGGTAAAAGAAAAACTAGTGTAATGCCAATTCATTTTATAGGCTGGAAATCAAACCTTTCCACATTGTTGTGTTTTTATGACACAGTGGAATGGTGCACTGGTACCCAGACGTATTGTTTTGTATTAAATTGAAATGCAGTCCTTTTTATTTTTATTTTATTTATTTTAAGATTTTATTTATTTATTTGAGATAGAGCTAGCCAGACAAAGCGAGAGAGAGCACGAGCAGGGGGGAGGTGGAGGGAGAAGGAGAAGCAGACTCCCCGCTGAGCAGGGAGCATGACGCACATGGCCAGGACCCTGGGATCATGACCTGAGCGGAAGGCAGACGCTTAACCGACTGAGCCACCCAGGCGCCCCGAAATTCATTTCTTTTTAGATTTATTGGGCAAGTTCCACTTTGTGTCAAGTACAACCCTCTCAAAAGCTTAATGTACACGAGATTGGGGCACCAAGAAGAAGTGGGGGAAAGGGAGTCATTGGTTATCCTGTTCCAGCTCCTGTGTCTTCACGAGTGTGACTTGGGACACACCCCCGAGGTGCCAGAGTGGCGAGTGTGTGCCAGGGTGTCCTTGCTAGGGGGCAGACGCTGGTGGGAAATGCCGTGCTACTGACCAGCACCTGCCCATGTGGAAATGAATTGAAGGAAGAGGAAAGGTAGAAGAAAGCAGAAGTAGGCATTTGACATTAAGAGCAGTTAAAATGTAAAGTTGGAATTGATGTGATATCTACACTTAGGCTCAGGTAGGATCCGATCCAGATGCCTGTGTGTCCCTCACCTCCAGGTTAGTGAATTCTCTCTTCCGCTGGGTCTCTTTGGTGCCACCTTGTGGTAGGCCGAGTGCCGTGCAGTTTGCGTTTCCCCCTGGCTCCTAGTTGTTTCTTTTCTGAAAAGTCTTCCAATGCAAGGCGAGGAAATTTGGGGCCGGAGGTGGCCTGCAGGCAGGCTGGATGCTGCGCTCTCTCGTGGGACGTGTCCGCTGCAGACGCATCGGCTCTCCCACACCTGCAGCCCTTGGATTCAAGCCCTGCAGCGGAATGCTCTGGAGAGGCTTCTCCGGGTGAGGACAGTGAGAAACTTTCATTTTTGTCCTCTAAGAAATAACCTGTCAAGTATAGCATCCTGCTGTGAAAGCTTTGTCACCATTGTATTCTCTTGGTTAATGTTTGTTTGTTTATTTATTTTTAAAAGATTTACCCATTTATTTATTTGAGAGAGAGAGAGAGCATGAGCAGGGGAAATACCGAGCCCCCCAGGCACCCCTTGGTTGATGTTTTAAGTCATTTCTTTTAAACCCGAATTTGCACTGGTTGGAGCTGTTGGAGAATCTGTATTTAGAGTGCAGCCTTTATACTTGTTTGTTTGACATCACACCTTTTTTTTTCTTCCTAAATCAGAGACATCTTATGTCTTCTCTTGAAAAAAAAATCTCAGGAAGAAGCTTTCAACTGTTGGAGAGGCCCCCCCCCCCCCCCCCCCGCGAGGCCTGGCTAGTCTTCAGTGAAACTGAAAGAAGAAATATAACGTGATGATCCACTGCAATCCATGCAGCTGGTTGATAAAAATGAACATATGCATGATGACCCTTATTCTAGGTGAAGATTCCAGTACTTTTGGTATTGCTTATTTGCTGATTTTCCAAACTGGAATCAGTTTTTCTTGTGTAGCTTTAAAATTTTTGAGTTAAAAATATATATGCAAATAGAGAAAAAAAAGGATAGCTTGCAGGGTCATGGGATTATGGGTGACTATTTGTCCTTTTATTTTCTAGAATGTTTTCAACTGGAGCAGCAAAGAGGCTCCGGGAAACCAGTGTCTTAGTTTCCTGTTGCTGCTGTAACACCTTACTGCAAATTGAGGCCCAAACACAGTAAAAATGTATTATCTTATAGTTCTGGAGGTCAGAAGTCCAAAATAGGTGTGCAGAGTTGCATGTTTTTCAGGAGGCTTTAGGGCAGAATCTGTTTTCTTGCCTTTTGCAGCTCCCAGAGGCTCCCTGCATTCCTTGGTCCATGGCCTTGCATCATTTTGACCTTTCCTTCTGTTGTCACATCTCCTTCTCTGACCCTCCTGCCTTCCTCTTATAAGGACCCAGTGATTACACTGAGCCCACCTGGATACTGCAGGAAATCTTCCCATCTCAAGATCCTTAATTCAGTCAGTCACATCTGCAAGGTCCCTAATGCCTTGCAATATAACAGAGGTTTGGGAGATTCAACGTGGGTGTCTGGGGGGGGAGCATTTATTCTTCTGAGCACCCCCGGTGTCCACTGACAGGGGTGCTAATGGCCAGATGACGTGACGGCGGGCGTGGCTAATGTGCCTCCACGCTGTGCTTTCCATACAGACCTTCCCTGATGGAGGATCTCCATGAAGCAAATGGCAGGTTTGCCATCAACTTATTAAAAATGTTGGGTGAAGAGGACAGCTCCCGAAATGTGTTCTTTTCCCCTCTGAGCATCTCTTCTGCCCTGGCCATGGTCTTCATGGGGGCCAAAGGAAACACCGCCACCCAGATGTCCCAGGTATGCATGCTAGCATTCTGTCCCACAAGAAGTCCCCAGATTTCACCTTTGTTACATTTTAAGTTTTGGCTAACGTTATATATCAAGTTGAAATGCAGCTGTTTGAATGAACTTGCAGTTAAATGGGTTCTTTCTAGTGTGTGATTATGCACTAGAAGAAAGCAGCACAGATGTGGACTTCGGTCTCTGGAATTATTGAGAGGGAATGTATAATCTGATTGATCTGAAACGGGTTCTGTGGGACCTGAGCTACAAATGAAATAGTGGCAAATACTTTAGGGAAGTTGTCTTTAACCTCTTTGTCATCTTAAGTTTCTTTGACAGTCTTGTGAGTGTCCCAGAACATTGCCAATGCACATGACCTCCCCATCGATAGCAGGGGCGCGTGGGTGCCCTCTGGAGGTGCCTCTGGGCATGGCAGCTGGGGGGGCGGTGGTTTCTTCTAGCTCGCTGGAGGAGGGAGGCTTTGGACTGGGGCCATTGGGAGACAGAGGAACAACCTTAATTTCCACTCTGACTTGACATGGAAGTCCCAGTCTGGTCTGCAGAACTTACATGAAATTGCTGTTGAAGTATTTTCTGTTGATTTCTGCTCATTCTCGTATTCCCTGGGTTGTGTTAGATTCATTCCAGCTACCTCTTTGCTCTGTTCTGTCTCTCTCCTGAGTTTCATACCTGCCTTTCTAAGTGTGTTTACACCTGGGGGCGACATTTGCCACTGTCCCCACAGCTCTGTTGTCTGAGTGGTGCTACTGACATCTAGTGGGCAGAGGCCCGAAATGCTGCAAAATGTCTTAGAAGGCACAGACTAGCCCCAGCCGCAAAGTGGCCCCAAATGTCAGCAGTGTCCCGTGGAAAGGCGCTGTGGGAGGGTTAAACCAAAAGCCTTTCAAGATGGGATCCTTTGTGATTTTCAGCACAGGGGTCGTTGCAGATAGCTCTTTGTGGGAGCAAGATGGCAATGTTACAAGTCCGTGTCCTTGTCTGTTACCAGGCGCTTTGTTTGAACAGAGACAGAGATATTCACCAAGGTTTCTGGTCACTTCTCACGGAGGTTAACAAATCTTGCACTCAGTACTTGCTCAGAACTGCCAACAGACTCTTTGGAGAGAAGACATGTGATTTCCTTCCTGTAAGTTGTAACTCACGCATGGATGTTAAGAAAATGGCAAATAAGGTAGAAACTGCAGAAGAACAGAGATAAAGTATAATTCTGTTGCCTTAAAAATGTGCTTAGAGTTGTACTTCTGTAATTATGATTTTGAATTTTATGATTTCCTCTGAATTATGTCCTTTTTAAAGCTGGGTTTTTTTTTAAGATTTTTTTTGAGACGAGAGAGAGAGAGAGAGAGAGCGCACAAGTGGGGAGGAGGGCCAGAGGGAGAGGGAGAAGCAGATTCCCCGCCAAGCAGGGAGCCCGATGTGGGGCTCAGTCCTAGGACCCTGAGATCATGACCTGAGCCCAAGACAGACGCTTAACTGACTGAGCCACCCAGGCGTCCTTAAAGTTGTTCTTGATAGATCCCTCCCAGATATCAATCTCAGTATGTCCTTCTTCCTGCACCCAGACCTGCTTCTCCCCCTTGGTCCCCTGTGCCTCAGTGACCACATCGTCCGTGTGTGTACACGGCTGTCCCCAGGCTCACCTCTGGTTGTTGGGCGGTTCCTGCAGAGCCGGTCTCTCAAGTCCTCTTAAATTTGTCCCCTCTTCTGAATCACCGTCACCACTGCCTCGGTCCACACTCTCACTGGATCTTCTGCACCATTATTTTAATTCTGTCCTGATGGATCTCTCCAGGTCCAGCCAGGCTCTTCCACGCTACTGACAGAGTAGTCTTTTGAAAGTTAAAATTGGGCCATAAAGCTGAGGTTTTAAATCTGTGCACTTCCTGTCTACTGAAGCATGTAATTCTCAAGGTCCCCAGTCCAGTAAAAGCCTGCCGTCACGCAACGAGTGAGGGCCAAAAACGTATGTTGCACACCCTGCAGGGTATTGGCTACCTCAGATTAATGAAGTGATTTGGGCAAACCCGCCATCTTTCTGGCTGGCAGTTCCAAGGATTTTTCTGTGAGATTCAGATATGTCCCTGTCCTGGCTGCTGTTGGGTGTGACCCCAGAGAGGTCGCCTGCTCTGGGCTTGAGTATCACCGGAGATAATTCTGGGTCTTCTAGGATGAGCACTAAGGATCCCAGGAATCTTCCGGCTAACTGATGTTCACTTTTGGATGTCAGCGTGGTCTTTGAGGATTGTCACTGGGGGGTTTTGGGGACACAAGGAGCCACCTTCCCATTTTCTCAGTTGCTTGGCTCCCCTTTCTGTCTACATTTTCTCTCTTCTGTAGAAGCTAAAATATTTGAGAACAGGAGATGGGCGGAGGATGGGAGCCAATTGCCAGGCACATTATATCTGACACCAAGTTTTTGTGAGGTGAGTTATCTTGGGGTTTTCATGTATTGGGCACAGGCACTTCCTGACTTGACCCCAGCTGACATTCCAAGGCTCACCCCTCGCCACTGTTTTCCCTGATTTCCGCCCCTTCCCCACCTGACGGCGCCACCAGGCCTATCACATGCCACTCCGGGACCTGTAAGATTTCTGGGGATCATCTGGTTCCACTAGGGAGCCTCTCACTCATTCACAGATTTCAGACACTGTGGTTGGTGGTGGTGATACGAAACCGGGTCAAAGCCAGAGTCGCTGGCAGGCAGGCAGGCCGACAGAAAATCAAGCCGGAAGTCAGCGCGGAGCTCAAGCGCTCGGCAGGGAGGCCGGGGGCGGCTCTGCGCATGCCCGCCAGCCGCCGTCCGCCTTCTGGAAGCCCGCGAGCGCCCCGGGTCCCTGCGCGGCCCCTCGCCGCGGGCCGCGGGCCGCCTCGGGGCCGGTGTCACGTCTTCAGCCCCCGGGCTGCGGCCTGGCGGCTGCGGGCCCTGCGTTTCTTGTCAGTTGCCCGGATGAGTCTTCAAGTGCAGGATGCCCCGTGCGGGCGAGAGCTCGCGCTGGAAATAGGTTCAGAGGGGGAAAAAAAAAAACAACACGTTTTCACGCTGGTGGGAACTTAGAGGGCACACTCGGTATCCTGTGTTCTTAGCCCTTTAGGGAATCCTGCCAGAAGTTCTACGAGGCCGAGCTGGAAGAGCTGTCCTTTGCTGAAGACACGGAAGAATGCCGGAGGCACATAAACGACTGGGTGACGGAGCGGACGGAGGGTGAGGCACGTTCACTGCGCGGGACTCCGCTCCTTGAAGCGGGGGGCAGCCGAGATCGCGGGGGCGTGGCCTCCAAGGTGCCGCCCCCCGGGCCCTGTAGCCGGGGCCCTGTTTGTGTGTGTTTGCTGGATTTCTAGGCCAGCCACGCAATTCGCTGCTTTTTCTCGGGTTTCTGAGGTCACCGAGTGGTGATTTTTTTAAAAACTCCATGAACCTGGTGTAGGGATCTCAGACCCACTCCCCTCGGGACTGTGCTAGAAAATCCCTGAAAAAGGCAAGGCTTGCTGTCTGGGGGCCCATCAGTCTTCTGTCTGAGGGGAGGGGGTCGGGGTGCCTGCCCCTGAGGGCAGAATGACATTCAGGTTAGGCTGGGCCTGCCTGAGACGCTGGGCAGCAGTTCCCCTTATCGCCCTGTGGTAGTGAGGACAGCTGGTTTTGTCTGCAGGTGTCTCCTCCCTCTGTCAGGGGGCTGAGGCTGAGTTTGCATTCAGAGTGTGAGCTTTGCCCCAGATCCTGGAAATGCAGTGCTCGTGGAGCCTGCGGCCTCCCCTGTCCAGACCACACTCTGTCTTACCAGGAATATTTCCGCCAGTGCTTGGCCAGAGTACAGAGAAGGGCATGCTTTTAAGCACTCGAAGTACCTAACACAATTGAGAGACTTCCAGAAGTGTGTGTGGGGGGTAGGGAGGGCGTTAAATCACTTATTTCTTCTGTGCCCACCTAGCGCGCTTTAGGGTGCACCTGCTGTGTGTCCGGCAGTGGCAGGGCCCACGATTATACTGAAAGCCAATAAAATAATGGCTGTTGGAAGGGCAGAGCCTTTCACGTTTTCCTACGTTGTATGTGCGGTGGTCTCTTGTTCTCCAGTCGATCCAGCAGTACTGGGTCACTCAGGGAAGCCAGAGAGGCTACTCCCTACATCACCCTCCCTACATCACTCACTTCTTCTTCATCAGATTGACTGCCAGTATGTTTCCCCCAAATATCAGAGCCATAGGGGATATTGGGGGTCACCTTGTCCCCAGTCTCATTGGAGAACTCAGTCTGGGTTCCTATATTGCACCCATGCATTCCTTCCCCATTCTCTGCCTCCAGGAGGACGGCCTCACCCATTTATAGGTGTGTATTCCTTCATCCTTCGGAAGCTTCTCCTCACCTAAATGAGATCTGAAGGTTGGTGTGGAGCAATGATTCTCAACCAGAATCAGCCCCTAGGTGACATTTGCCAAGGGTTGAAGACATTTTGGTTGTCCCAACTGGGGAGATGCTACTGGCGGGACATCCTACAATGCACAGGACGCTCCCCACAGCAAAGAATGATCTGGCTGAAAATGCCAGTAGCGGCGTGGTTGAAAATCATGGCACCAAGGTTGGGAAGTTTATAATTAGAAGGAAGACTCTTGTCTCAGTTCAGCCACTTGGAACCTATGTGACCTTGGCGAAATGTCAGCCAAATGCTCTGACCTAAATTTCTACATCTGTAAATTGAGGGCAAAATGAGAGTTGACCTGCCTGCTTCAAGATTGCCGTGTAGGGACCAGCAGGGTGTATATGCCACATGGTGTGTGTGCACGGCATTACATCCCATCACCCTGTTCCTCAGGCCTCCAGAAAGACAGGATTCTAGCCTGGTTCAACCACGCCAAGCTTCAGATGTCAGGAGTGGTGGTGTTGTAAAAGAACGTTTATTCCTCTCCCCTCTTCCCCACATGGCTATAAACTTCTCTGATATGCTTGGCAGGTAAGATTTCGGAGATCCTGGGTGCTGGGACAGTTGATCCACTGACTAAGCTGGTCCTCGTGAATGCCATCTATTTCAAAGGAAAGTGGAATGAGCAGTTTGACAGAAAGTACACAAGGGGGATGCCCTTCACAATCAACCAGGTAGGGAAATATTTTTTGCGTGTACTGCTAACTTTCTTAAAAGTAATGTGCTGGGAAAGATTGTGAATGAATGGAAAAAATAATGTATTTCATACTATATTTCTCAATGAATTTCACACTCCCTCTATATCTTTTATTGGAGGGGGAAGAGAGAAGCTAACATTTTTATATTGATAGTTTTGTGTTTGCATCCTGTGTCAAACTGATTCTTCTCTTTGGCCATATTATTTGGACTGAAAGAAAATTTCTTCCACCCTTGGAATTATGTTTGTGTTGTACTATCACTGTATTTACCCAGACACCTTCTTATAATGTCAGTGACAACTGTGCCTGTAGATTGCCTTATAACTCCTAGCCATACAGTTCTGAACACAAGAAAAAAAACCTCAGTAGATGTTCAGGCTAACTTTGTCTTTATATTTGGATCTTTTTAAATAACTGTATATAAGGTGTGTGAGATGATGATTTGATATAATTCACATAGAGAAATAATTGCTTTGGTCGAGCCAATTAGCATATACTTTTCTCACATGGTTATCATATTACTTTTGTGATGAGAGCACCTGAAATCTACACTCTTAGCAAATTTCCAGTATTCACTACAGTATTCGTAATTGTGGTCATCATGCAGGCGTCAGATCTCTAGACTTAAAGCCTAACTTTAACAACACTTTTGTCCCTTCACTTTTGGGTATGGTGATGGTTGGCATCAATAGCAATTAGCTTGAAATTTGGCTTCCATCAACTTGATGATAGCATATCACACAGAGATTTATTTATTTATTTATTTTAAAGATTTTATTTATTTGACACAGAGAGAGCGACAGCGAGAGAGGGAACACAAGCAGGGGGAGTGGGAGAGGGAGCAGCGGGCTTCCCGCAGAGCAGGGAGCTGGATGCGGGGCTCGATCCCAGGACCCTGGGATCATGACCTGAGCCGAAGGCAGACACTTAACGACTGAGCCACCCAGGCGCCCCTTGCACACAGATTTAAAAGTCTAGAATACATCTGATGCAAGCTTTAAAAATGGTGGACATTACAAATCTTGTCAAGGTCCTCTCTCCAAGAAAACCAAAGCCATGAAGCGGTTATATAATTGAGCAACTTTTCAGAATAAAAATATAAGTCTCTATGGCCTATCCATCTTTTCTAACCGCATCCTTCAGCCTGCAAACCTGAATATTAGTTAATTCTCCCCTTAACTTGGATAAATAATCTTTAATTATAAGGTCCCTGGAGTGCTCTTCTCTAATGCATCTTCTCAGAAGTGAAAAACACAGCTTCTTCCAAAAATAATGTAGGGTTTTCTGTCTAAGTTCATCAGTTTTATTCTCTCCCACCTGGTAATAGTTGATCTGCTGGGACAAGAGCATGTGGTATTCAATACTAATATGTAGGGGCGCCTGGGTGGCTCCGTCGTTAAGCGTCTGCCTTCGGCTCAGGTCATGATCCCAGGGTCCTGGGATCGAGCCCCGCATCAGGCTTCCTTCTCCGCGGGAAGCCCGCTGCTCCCTCTCCACTCCCCCTGCTTGTGTTCCCTTGCTCGCTGTCTCTCTCTTTCTTTCTCTCTGTGTGTGTGTGTCAAATAAAAATAAAATCTTTAAAAAAATACTAATATGTAATAATGAGGGTTTGGCGTCTATCAGCATAGTGCGCAGAAATAACAATTCTCTTCCATGGACCTAGGGGTTCTGCAGATGAGATTTATCTCCTTTTTTGTAAGCCTTGCTCATTTTTCGGTGATCTGCTTTTAATTCCATATTTTTCATTAGGAGAAAAAGACCGTGCAGATGATGTTTAAGCTCGCTAAATTTAACCTGGGTTATGTGGATGAGGTGCACGCTCAGGTGCTGGAGCTGCCATACGCGGGGCAGGAGCTGAGCATGGTCATCGTGCTTCCGGATGACAACGCCGATCTCGCCGTGGTAAGCCCTGGCCAGTGCGTCTGAGCGTCTGTGGAGACAGCCTGAGTGCGTTTCTCTATTTCCGTCTATCAGGTAGCACGTGAGGAATTTCCAGTTGAGGGTTGTTAGGAGTCCTTGGCGAACAGCGTCTCCTCTCTGGAGTGACCTTGTGTTTGCTTTTCTGCTGAGCATGTATCCAGGAGTGGATTTGGTGGTGAGGACCATTCTCAGGAAGCTAAGAGGCGAGGCTTCCAAAATTATCAGAACACTCTGCTTTACTCTGAAAGAGGGGCTAGTCGAGTCCCAGGAATTACTGAACAAAAAAGTACTAGGCAAGGAGAGTACTTGCCATATTGAGAAACAATAACATGCGTAGGAATCCACTGGGTGGCTTGTTAAAAGGCAATTTTTGCTTCAGGGGGTGATAGCCTGAGAGTTTGCGTTTCTGACGAGATTCCAGGTGATTCAGATGCTGCTGGTCAGGGACCACACTTTGGGTAGCAGGAGTCTCAAGGACAGGTGAAGAATTTTTCTTGGACAGGAGGAGAGGGCCTTCTTCCCATGACGGAAAAGGAACACAGTTCAGGGTGGGAGAAAGTAAATTTGTAAGGAGGTCAGGACCAGTTAGTGGGCTTGTTATCTGGCTCTCGGGGGGTGGGGAACGACCTCATTTATGACATCTGGCTGAGTTCAGGTGACTGAGGGTTTAACAGTGGACTCTTGCCAGAGATGGAGGCCAGCTCCAGCACACCAGTGCACAGGACGCCGAGGGTGGGGCCTGCCCGGTGTCCCTGGTTTCTCTGTGGAATCGGAAAGCTATTGGCATAAGTCAAAGGTGAGCTCTGTCATGGTGACTCAAGAAGAAAATGAGGAGAGTCTGGGAATTCGAGCTAATGTCCACACAGCTGTCACTGGAGAGGAACATTCGCCTGGGTGAAGAAAAGAGGGAGAAGCAGTGGAAGCTTCTTCCCTTTTTTCACTGTGGACACACAGACCGAGTGATGGGTCTTGGAGGCTTTGAGGCGAACGCCAGGGCAGGCAGAAGATGAACAAGAATGCCACAAGCCACAGTGTTGTTGAATTCTCCATTTCTGCTCTCCCCTCCCTGGAAGCCACATCTTCCTTCCTGTTTGGAGGATCCCTGATTTTCTTGCTCTTGCCCATCAGAGTTCTGGGCCATACTCTCTTTTTTGTCAGACAAATCTGTGATTCATACTAATGTGTATCACATGGATACAATCACTTGGTTATGAGAACTTTCCAAACTAAAAAACATTTGAAATGAGTTTGGTACAGATAGTTTAAAAAAAAAAAAGCATCTCCCCTCTCTCAGTGTTTTTTAGCTATTTTTCCTCTTATATCCATAAAACGGGAAAAGATGAGAATTTGAGGGAAAATGTTGGTGTGGTACAGGAAAATCTCTGTAGATTGTCTTGGACAGTGTCATGGAGGGGAGGGGGGCTGAGTGGGGAGGGGAGCACCAGGCTGTTGTCTCCATTTTAAGATTCGACCCCTCCTTATTTCAGGTGGAAAAAGCACTAACATACGAGAAGTTCAGAGCCTGGACAAATCCAGAAAAGATGACTAAGGATAAAGTTCAAGTTTTCCTTCCCCGATTGAAGCTGGAGGAGAGTTATGACTTGGAGTCTTTTCTTCGAAGTTTAGGTATGACTGATGCGTTTGAGGAAGCCAAGGCAGACTTTTCTGGAATGTCGGCGAAGAAGAATGTGCCTGTGTCCAAGGTGGCACACAAGTGCTTTGTAGAGGTGAATGAAGAGGGCACTGAGGCGGCGGGGGCCACAGCCGTGGTCAGGAATGCTCGGTGCAGCAGACCCGAACCAAGATTTTGTGCAGACCACCCTTTCCTTTTCTTTATCACACACCACAACACCAAGAGCATTTTGTTCTGTGGCAGGTTCTGCTCCCCATAAGGAGGTGCACTTGCTGTAAACACACTCCTTTCGCTTCTGCCCACCTGCCTTAGTGCAGATTCCTGTGACCAAACTGGTGTGATGGTTTGAATGCCCAAATAAAGCGTGTGTGCCTGGGAAGTCTGTGTGAACGTCCTGACTGAATATTCCACGGCCACTGAGAAAACGGAGGCATCACACGTGTGCAGTTTGGGGCTGAGAAAGCTGTGCTTGTTCGGGGGGTTCGGGCAGCTCCTCTTTCTCATCGACTCTGCCCTCACCTGCCTATCAGAGGATGGCCTGCTCCTCAGCGTCTGTTCTCACTGTTTGTGGGCGTCTTGAGGAGCATGTGAGGGATTCACAAACCAGCCCTTCCTACGCGTTCCCATCCTGCAGTGACCTCAGGGCTCTGCCCACTTCCCCTGCCGGGTTCCCGAGGAGAGGCCAGAGCCCAGCGCCACTGCACACACCAGAGGCGAATGCCACGGAGTAAAGCCTGCCAGGCTCATAGACAGCTGAGATGAAGTGCCTGTGCCCTGTCAGGATCACACAGACTGCCCTGCATGTCCCACGTCTCACACAGGCCCTCATGAAGACAACTCCTTCACATCTTCTTGCCATAAACCTTCAGGCCTGTGCTAGGAGACCGAGCTCTGAATGTGCCAGGTAGGCTCCTCCATTCCCTTTTCATCTGAAGCGCCCCCTGCCCCGCCCCCGGGACCTTCATGTGAGGCACCTGTCAGGACAGCATCCCTCTACTTAACCACATATGCCCACGTGTGGCTCTAGCACATCGTGCTTATGCACAGCCCTCCCTACAGTATTTTTTTGACTTAAAAAAGGATTTGTATTGTGGTAGCAACTTGGAAACTATTGAAAAGTACCAGAGAATGCTGAAGTCACCCACAATTTTACCACTATGAAATCACTATTTTTTTTTTTAAAGATTTTATTTATTTGACAGAGCACAAGCATGGGGAGAAGCAGGCTCCCCACTGAGTGGGGAGCCCGGTGCAGGACTCGATCCCAGGACCCGGAGATCATGACCTGAGCCGAAGGCAGATGCATAACAACTGAGCCACCCAGGTGCCCCTGAAATCCCTATCAATGAAGTATATCCTTCCCTATTCTATGTATGCAAATACAAACTTACAAACATTTTAGCGCAAGTTAATCATAGACTTCTGTAGCTCTTTCTACCCTTACTTGCCATAAACTCTCCTCAAGATAATTATGTCATCAATTTGATGTGTCAAATAGTATGACTCTCTATATTTTCTATTATTGGATCCACTTTTAGACAATTTAGGTAATTAAAATTATATACTCTTATGAATGTACTAAATATTTGCTCACATCCTTCACATTTTAAAAGAAATATTCATAATAATGGTACTGTCAAGATAAAAGTTGGGCACATTTTCACCAGTTCTTCCAAATTGGTCTCCAGAAAGTTGTCCTGATTTATAACTGCCCCCTCCCCCGCCCCAAAATACATGACCATTTACATTACCGCTGACTGCCGTGGGCCATTTTTTTTTTCTTTAATGAGTGGTTATTCCTGACTCTGTTTTGGATTCACAGCTCACAGTTACTTGAACCACTCATATTACAGTTCTTCCTTAATTCATCAAGCTAGAATATGTTTTCTGTTAGGGCCACATTCATTTCAGGGACCCTACTTTCCGAAGAAGCCTTGGCCAAAAGTGAATCCACAGGGCTAGAAAGCCTGCATCTTTTAGTTTTAATGTCATATCCACCTCTCATTTAAAGAAAAAAATCTACACCTGGGCGCCTGGGTGGCTCAGTTGGTTAAGCGACTGCCTTCGGCTCAGGTCATGATCCTGGAGTCCCAGAATCGAGTCCCGCATCGGGCTCCCTGCTCAGCAGAGAGTTTGCTTCTCCCTCTGACCCTCTTCCCTCTCGTGCTATCTCTCGTTCTCTCTCTCTCAAATAAATCTTTAAAAAAAATTCTATGCCTTTATTGAAGTATAATTTATACAGAATAAACTACATATTTCACATGTACAGTTTGGTAAGTTTTGACACATACATACCCATGAAACCAAACCAAGGAACCAGTGGGCAGGTACCAGTCATGGGAGGCCCGTCAGCGTATGCAGTCTGTACAATGACCATGAGCTAAGGATACCTGTCAACCTTTACTCAGACCTCTTGGCTCTCCAAATAAAGGAGACTGGGGGTCAGGCTGAGATCTCTCTATCCCCACAGGGGACCAGAAGCAGTATGTCAAGGTCAGAGTTCAGTCGTCTCAAAATCTCTGGGCCGGGGTTAGCTCAGGTGTTGTCTAGTGAAGTAGAAATGTTCTATACAGCTGAAACCTGGCCCAGATGGGGTCTCAAAACTGCAAAGGTCCTAGGAGGGCCCCTCTGCATCCCAGGCATAACACCCAAGGAACTAATATGAAAGTGATTATGATAACAGGACCCACTTCGTAGAGTTGTTGAGAGGACTTAATGGGTACATAAAGAGGTTGGAACAATGCCTGGTGTAGCAGTACCCAGCATGTAATGGGTAACTATCATTATTAGACAAGACTCAATTGCATTTTCATGCATTTAATAAGCAATAGCTAGAAAATGTAGTTAATTTTGAATTAAAAAATATAATGTTCTCAGTAACAATAACTTGAGATAAGCAAGCCTGTTGTGTTGAAAATTAAGAAATGTTATTGGAAGTCATTAAACATGGCCAAAGGAAAGGGAGATATTTCATATCATGAACAGAGAGACCTGGAGTTGAAAAGTCATCAGTTTTCCCTTACCTGTCCTATAGATGTAATGTAATTCCAATCCAAATTCCAGCAATGTTTTCTGTGGAACTTGACAAGTATATTCATTTAAAAATTTACATGAATAAGCAAAGGGCCAGAAATACCCAGCACACTTCTAAAGAAAAAGATCATGTTGCAGAGTTCTGCTCTACCAGATATTGAAGCTTATAAAGTTTTAATAATATAGTGTGGTGTTTACACAGGGATAGACCAACAGATTAATGGTACCAAAGAGAGCCCAGAAGCATACTCATTCATATATTAAAATGGGAAATGGGACAGAACTGGCATTAGAGGTCATTAGGTAAATGATAACCCAATATAGTATGCTGGGACAACTTCCTTATAGAAAAGGAAACAGAGTTAATTATTGAGAGATTAAATACCGAAATATGAAAACCAAATTTTATAAGTTTTACAAGAAAATATAGCAGAATATTTTGTGACTTTAGGGAAGGGAAAGATATCTTAACACATAAAAAGCAAAATAAGGCAAACAATTGACAAAATCAACTACATTAAAATACATGTACTTTAAAATACATTTAAAATACACCATAAAAATTATAAAAATATAAGCTCAAGCCAGGAGGTGAGGATTTAACACATTTAACCATTAAAAGATAAATATCCAAAACAAAGTATTTTCATCAAAGAGTCTGTAAGAAAATGGCAAGCCAATGGAAAAATGGGTAAAGACTTGAGCTACTTCACAAAGAAGAAAACAGAAAAGGTCAATAAATATATGAAAAGATGCTCAATATCATTAATGAAAGAAAGCAAATTAAAGTAGAAATAAGAGCTCAGAGGGAAGTGCGACCATGGATGAAGGGCAGAGCAATGTTGTTGGCTTTGGAAGACGGAGGAAAAGGGCCTGAGCCAAGGAATGTGGATGGAGAAGCTGAAGGAGGCAGGGAAATGGATTCTGCCCTAGAGACTCCAGAGAGGACCACGGCCCTGTGGGCACCCTGATTCTAGTCCACGGAGACCTGTCTTGGACTTCTGACCAGCAGAGCTCTGACATCATGAACTCATGTTTAGGGCTTGTAATAATTTGTTACAGCATCAACAAGAAACTAATAAAGTATTCAGCACCGATGCTTTTCTTCTGCAAATGATAGAAACACATTTCTAACTTAAGAAAAAAGTAATTTATTATCTCGTCTCAAGCTTAAAAAAGTACCTGAGGAATGACTAGGACTGTAGACTCAAGTGTCTTAGGCTCACTCTCCATTTCCAGCTTTGCTGTTTCTCTGTTAGCTTCCTTCTCTTTCCCCACAGAACTTGAGGTGGATCTCCACCCTTCCACCCATCCACCATTGTCTCGGATTGACCCTTTTGTCCCCACTTAGTTATCACAGGACGAACAACAAGGGCAAAAGAGCTAGGATATACTGACATCCTAGCGCTTCGTGAAACTGTATGGATGAACCAAAGGAACTTACATTATGAAGCTCGGAAGAGCATCAGGTGTCTGTTTTCTATCAACCTGCTTTGGCCTTAATCGAGCAGTGGTAAGTCTTCGTTCATGGCTTCCTTCCATCAAGGACAAACACAACTAGAAAAAATTAATTTAAAATAACATTGATCTGGTTACTTAAAAGCATTTGGACCAACACATTATCACAAGCAAAGCTCACCTACTCTGTTGGTTTTCTCTTGCTGCCTTGATGGGCTACCCATGACGCAGAGGCTTGAGCAACGTGGATTTGTTGTCTCCCAATGCACGGTTCAGTAGGTTAGTAGACTTGGCTCTGCCCAGTCTTACAAGGTCGAAGTCAGAGCGCCAGCAGGGCTGCCTCCCTCCTTTGAGGCGGCTCTGAGGGAGACTCCACTTCAGGGACATTCAAGTTACTGGCAGCATTGAGCTCTACATGGTTGTAGGTACAAAGTTCCTGTTTCCTTGTTAGCAGTCACTGGGGCCTTTCTCCTTCTTCCATTTTCCAAGCCAGCGATAGAAGTCCAGTCCATCTTATGCTTTCGTAGGGCAGGAAAACTTGACCTCTACCCATCTTAGGTTTTCACTGAGACTCTTTAACAAAAAGACAGATTAGCAAGAGAAAAACAGCTCACTAATGCATGCATTTGTATTTACTCTGACCAGATATCCCACTCCTGCTTCGCTACTAGAGAAACGAAATGTTCAAAAGACATGTGAAATAATGCTTATAGCAATATTGTTTCTCATGGCAAGAAAAAACGTTGAAACCCCCCCCCCAGGAAAAATGCTGAATTATTAAAATGAATAAATTATGTTGTATTCATACAATGGAGTCAAGGTCATCACCTTGCTTAGCTCTGGGGCACTATTCACATTGTTAGCACCTTTCATATAGATTCTAATGTA